AATTTATATGCCAATGTAATAATTCCCAAATAATATTATCAATTGAGGAGAACAATTGAAGAAGAACTAAGAGAAGCCAATTATACCTGAAGTGATATATGTTGAGAATAAAATAACAGAATCTGATATAAAAAGATAGTAGAGGCCCTATGCTCCACTGGGAGATGAGGATAAGAAGAAGAAGAAGATTATTGTTTGGAATCGTTTTTTGACAGTGAATAACTGGCTCTACTATTTGATTTTCTAACACTTAATCATTACCAACATTTAAAGCAATGAATACAGCTTGAAATATGCTAGTAATTAATATTTCTAGAATTTTTGAAATTGAAATACATTTTATAAAATATTATTTATGCTGTGAAATTAAGATGTGATTTATATTAAAGGCATGCCACAATTTTGATTTTAATTTGAAAACTATTTCCATTTTTTTATAGTTAAGTATATATGTTATATATATTTATAATTTTTAATTACCCACTTCGAATGATAATATCATATTGTTCTTACGCTTTTTCGACTATATATAAAATTAATTTTTAAGTTGCCATACCATGGCAAACACCGAGTAAGCCGCCTTGCATGTTGAGAAGAATGTATCTAAATGTATACGCAAAATACCACCCGCATAAGCAGGACGTTTCTTAAGTGCCCGTTGCATAAAGAGAATCATGTGCTTCTTATATTTCGGACTCTGCATAAGCCAATTACTGGAATAGATAGCTTGAAGAAGTTCATCAAACATAAATTCGAAATTGCTGCCGAAATAACAAGTAGGAAAAGTCTGCATCAGTATACCAAACAAATAAAAAACATAATATAAGATACTGAATATGTCCTTTGCGACAAAGAGCATAGCTACTAAGCCCAAGGCCACATTGATTGCAGTGACTGTAAATTGTACCAACATAGGTAATTCTATAACTTCATTGATAAGATTACATAATCTACAAATAAACCACTATAAAAGATATCAATAAAAAATATTTAATAAAACCCATACTCATACAGATTCTGTTGATCCTTTACGCACTCAGTCAGTTCCTCTTCATTCGTAGTCTGATTTTTCCTATCATAGCCAATACCAGAGATTCGCATATGTAATACTTTGATGTGACCTGTAAGCATACACAAGGATAATGGCGGAAATACATCATCCACCAAATTCTGCAATATGCAAAAATGAAAACCAATTAATTGAAAGACAATCGCGATGCTATAGTTGAGTGTAGAATCCTGCCATCTAAAAGGTAACCATGCTGTATACAAAAGACTCCGTTCCTTTTTCAGACACAATGTTGCGAAAGAGAATACCGTAATTAAGGAGTATAAAGAAAAAAAAGCTCGCTTCATAATTGTCACAGTTCTTATGGTTCTCTCAAACTCTTGTTCTTCTTCTCCGTTTCGACGTCTTTTATCAATTTTCTGTAGCAGTACCTCCATTTCGCGCACTTTCTCCAATTTAATTGCATAAAATATGAACTTCAAACTACAAGCAAAGGATGTTGAGCATATTGACATCTTCGCTGTGATATCTTCTTCGATTTGGAATAGTCCAAAAAACAGATGAAACGGAAATAATAAAGTTATAAACGTGTTCATAATTACACTATAAGTTAAGTAAATATTTTTCCATTTGATATTTTTTGTATTAACGCCTAAGAGCATCCAACAAAACCAAAGTTCCTTGAAAACAGTTGCACTACTTACGAGACTCATTTTACTAATAGAAAGTTGATTCTTTACTTTAAATGCGTAACAATCCATTGTTGTGCATAATTGTCAGGTGTGAAATTCACAATAATTAAATATAAAAATTAATTATTTAAATATACAGGGTGTTTAGTGGTAACTTACTTCAATCTGGAAGTAGTAGCCCAGTGCCTACTGCTTCTTTTGGTATGCAACCTAAGCTTTTTGGTTAAACTATTTTTGAGCTAGTAGAAGTTTTTTAACTGAGGGCTTTTTTCGAAGTGCGGTTCTATGATATCGCATTGATCGATAAATATAGAAAATGGATACTTCAAACTAACAATTTGTATCGTTTCTTCATTTAAGAAATCATCTTCTGAAATTAAATCATTTTCTTTTAAAACACCCTGTCTAAATATTTAAATTACGAAAGGTGAAATGCTACAAAGTTAATATTTTTAATGAGTTAGGTTGACATTTCTTAGGTATATATGGTTACGTAGGTTTGTCACACATGTATGTATAGTTATAAATTTAATTGTTGCAGTTTGCTTCAAGTAATTTAGCTATATGCAATATAAAACCTTTATCTACAGTACCTGAATAGATTAAGGTGGTATTAGTTTCGAAAAGTATCAATAAAGACGTACACTGAAAATGCAGAAAGATAGGAAAACAAAAAGAGGACCTATGACCTCTTTTAATATTTAAATCAGGTGAATTCGCGAAAATATGTAAAATTAAAGTGAATTTAAAGAGAAATTAGAGGAAAACTTAAGAACAGATCTTCACGCAACTAAGTATTTGCAAAATAAATAGACAAACTAACTATGAATTTACATAGAAACCTTGTTCCAACTGCTGTCGCTAGAGATCAATAAGAATATGCATGGCTTGTGGGTTTGTATACGAGTGAACTTTGGTATACAAGGCCGGCTCCCGCACCCAACCTAAAATAATACTTAATAATAGCTCTGTGTTCAATACTTATTTTATACCGATAATAAAAAAAACATATTGTTACCTTCTTTTCAATAAATTGACTTCTGTTCGTCAAAATATTATAAAATGACATTAAAGGAGGATACATCAGTTAACAATATACCTTATAGAATATCGAATAGATGTCAATTTTAAAAAAGTCCAATTTATTTTCGAAACCATTATCTCCATCATTCAACATAATTAAATATTGACAAGAGTTTATGTAATCTGTTTAATTTATTGTATATAATAATCATTTAATTATTAAATTATTTTGATTGAATAAAAATTATTAGAGTTATATGTGATGTAGTCTTAAAAATTGATGGAACTTTCGTTTCATATTAAATTTTTTGTAGCTCTTCATTATGTACACTTATTATATATCTCCATATTAAAATATAAATAATTACGAAATAATCTATAAATTTAATTAATGATAGCTGCTTAATTATTTAATCAAACTATGTATGTCATTTGTGTAATGCAGTACTACAAAAACGTTTAACTAGTACATAAAGTATTTTCTTTTTAAATTCATTCCAATTGCATGTTTATTAATACTAATTATATAAAAAAGTAAAAAACATTTAGTTGAAATATTGACTATTACTTTTTAATTATAATTACTTAAAACCATTTTACTAAAATAGATATAATATCTAACTCAAATATTATAAACAGTAAAAAAGTGGTCAATTTCTTAACCCAACCCTATTCTATACAAGTATTATTAAAAAAGTGGTGTATCTAAAATTGAAAGAAACAATTTTGTTGCTTTTTTCGTCATAATGTAGTAATAAATAGTGCATATTCCCTAAATTCTCAAAGCCTTCATTTTTGACGGATTTATTGCTCCATTTGACGGAAATTTTTGTACACCGAACTGAATCTTGAACTAAAGACACTAAGGATGAAAAAATATACTGCCATCCAGATGTGATAAATAAGGAAGATGGTAAATTGATTTGAAATACAATTCAAGAATTTTAATCTTAAGTTTAATCTTCTGATCTTAGTTTAATTTTAATCTGAATTAGAAGATTGAGATCTTATAAGTTCTAATATCTATGCGTTGCTATTTATCATTAAAAGTAAAAGCATTACCAGATTTAAGCTATTAAAAACGATTTCTATCAACTAATAATAAAAATCTGCATTTTAAGTATTCTTACAATACATACAATGCATACCATATGATTTACAATATGAATATGATATGCTTTTTTTCTATGTTTTATTCAATGGCAGTATGTACAAAGCCAACATAGATGATTTTGATCAACTAACACCTAATCCAACAACCTTAGTAAGTCCTTTTCGTGTAAGGACTACAGGCCAACTATCTATCTGAGATTTGGTAAACTTTTCATCGAACATGTGTTTTCTTATCACACCTTCTGCATTTTCCAAAATGTGTTCATCTACTTGTCTGTGTATATAGCGCAGACCCCTTAGTAATTTTCTTATGTTCTCTTTTCAAAAAAAAAAATTTTAAAACGACAATTATATGTTCTTTACACACCTTAGACCTTAGTTATTATTTTATCTTCAAATAGCAAAATAAATAACATTTATTTGTAGAAACTCAAAGAACTAAATGGAATTTGGAAAGCATGGTATACTTTAATATATATCAAGCAATTAAAATAGTCTATAAACATGCCTCACTTCAGTAAACTTTAAAATTACTGAGTAAAGATTTTTTTTTGTCATACTTTTATATTGTAAGCCATTTTCTACATAAATTACTTTTTTGAAAAAATTATTAACTTTACTTTAAAATGCAATTCAAGTCTTAACTTAAAGAATTTCTTTACCTAATTTTATTTAAATCTTCTGAACATTTAAGCTTTTAGTTTTAAAAACATTGCCAGCATGGAATAGGCAGCTTTGCAGCATGAAAAGAAGGTGTCCATATGAATACGAAATAATCCACCAGCATATATAGTCTGCATCTTCAGGGTACGTTCAGTGAATACAATCATATCTTTCTTAAATGCACGCTCTTCTTCTATCCAATTACTGAAGTACACAGCTCTATGTAATTGCTGAAATTTTAGTTGAAGTTGACTCCCATAATAACAAACGGGGAAAATTCGCAATAGAACAGCAAAGGAGTAAACAATATAATACATGTAATTAAAAAATCCTTCGGCTACAAAGAGAACTGCTGCTAACGCTAAGCCAGTATTAAGACCCGTCAGTGTAAATAATATCAACAACGGCATCGAAATAATATTTTCAATCTGTTTGCAATATCTGAAATTATTACACATTATACACGTAATTACGCACAATCCAAAATTTCTAACCAACACTTACTCATATAAGGCCAGTTGATCTTGTATAGAAAGTTGCAGCGTCACTATTCTGTAAGGGTGATCAAAACTTCGATGACCTATGGTTGATATACGGAATTCCAAGCAACTTAAATGTCCTGTCAATAATCTCAAAGATATCGGAGGGAATGAATCATCTGCAAAATTTTGAGCTATACAAAAAAACAGTGCCAGTAATTGAAAAGAGCCTGCAATGCAAAATGCCAATGCCGAATTGTGCCAATCAAATGGAAGCCAAGCAGAATACAGCAATCTATGTTGTGACTGAAACATATTAGAAATGCCGGATAGTATCGCCATAACACCAACCGCCAAATAGCTCCACCCAAAGAATTGAGTCATATTTTGTATGTCACTACTCATTTCTTCAAATATATTTATTTCTTCATTGCACAAAATTCTTTCATCCAGTTTTCTTAATATATGATCAACTTCCTTTATGTCCTTAATTTTCAATGCATAAATTAGGAATTGCGCACAACAGGATAATGCTGAGATGAAAACGACAACAGATTCCAATTTTTCTTGAAACGTCTGGGGTTGTAGAAGTCCAACGAATAGACTGCAGCAAAAACTGATAGGAAAAAATAAATTAATTAATATGCCATAAATCCAATACAGTTTCTTCCATCCAGTTTGATTATTATTTATGCCAAGTAGTGTCCAAAATGTATAAGACAATCGAAAGAATCGTGTACTATCCAGAACGGCCATTTTATGAGTGTTTCTTATGCTATGTGTTTATGCGAAGAATGTCATAATTCAATAACTAAAATGAAGTCATTTGAAAACACAAACTACTTTCATTTATAAGTTATAATTAAAAACTTTATAAATGAAAGTTAAATGTTAACTTAAGTTAAATTAAAGGAGTGCTGATCAATTAATTCTTGACGCTAATTACTAACCAGTTTAGTTTGGATGTTAAAGTGTCTCTTGCAAACATAATTATTGGAAGTAATAACTTTTTATTTTTCCCTAAACTTATAAGTAGTAGTTTTCCTTAAATGGTTTAATTTTCAGTTGTTAGTTTCAAAGCAGAGATAAGACATCACAGTCGCTCATAGTTTTTCTGTCGCTTTTATTTTTCCATTTTTAAGCATAATTTTTATGGGTTTTAAATATTTTAGACAAATTTGGAAATATTTATAATTTTATCTTTATTTAAAAAAACGAAGATAATAATATCGATTACCAGATATCAGACACCAGACAATAATATCGCTCATCACATATTGGTACTTCAAACCAGGATATATAGAAATAAGACGATTAAAATGTGTAGTAGTCTCGCAGCAACTTAATATATGTAAATACTGGAATAAGAGAGATTGTTTCGAACATAGATATATAGACTTACATGCACAATCATTAGTCTAGAAAAAGTTTGTTTAAATAAATTTTGGTCTCATTAATATCCACAGAATTGTGAACAGCAAATATATTATAACATTAAATTGCACAAGAGAACTACAAAGACGAAGACGCTTATTAAAAAACAAAAGAAATCAGACTTGGATTTTCATCAAAAATAAAACATAATAAATCCTAAGCTCCAAACTACATACCAAAATAGATATCTATATATATATATTGCCAACCTCTGTTGAGGTTGATTATATATCTTAAAGCAAGTAGGTCGGACATTCAATAGCAAGCACTCACAAGCACTATATATTATATTATATATATTAACTAAGTAAAACCTTTTTATTAATTTTTAGGATGTTATGTCAATAAAGTCATAAAAATTCGATAATCTGAAACAGGAAAAGGTAAATACTACAAGATGTTATCAAAAAGTAACGATAATATTGACTGGAGTCGAAAATTAGTTAAAAATTTTCAACAATAATCCATACCAATACTACATACAAGATTTATGTAATTTATATGCGGCAATCCAGCAGAAATAACTAGATCTATTTACAGACAACTCATGGATTTTGCATTACGATGTCTACCAAATACTATAAAGTGTGATCAAAAAGTAACGAAAATGTTGTATAGAATAGAATATTTATTAAGACTTTTTATCGACTAACCATGCAATCAAGAGTACTATATGACCTATTCATTATTGTATAATTCTTATAAGTTTAACCAGAAGATACAACTAGAACTCTTGGCAGAAACCACTTAAATGCATACTGGATTGCTTATTCAATGATTTGTAGCGAATCTTAGCATTTCTTTAATACCGCCACCGCACTATTCTGCAAGCATGGTATACTGTGACTTTTTTTCGTTTCCTAAACTCAATAAGACAGACACATATAGTTTTGCTTATTCAACAATTAGTGGCGAATTATAACATTACTGTAATACCAACATCACCCTATACTCGAGACATGGTACAATTTTCTTTTAACCGAACTCGAAAAGACTGACAAAGAACACATTTTTTAACAATAGATGAAAAGAAACGAATTTGCGAAATAAGCCCATAACCATACCATAAAAAAAAGGTCAGAGCAGTGCTTACTAAATTGCGAACTTATGTAATACAGATTTGTGATAATAACTCTGTATTTATTTAATATGTCAAGTGCTAAATACTGAAATGTTCAAACTAAATTTATAATCTATTTGTGCCTTGTGTATTCTATTAGACTTCAGTTTTGTCATTCTTAAAGCGAAGTACAACAGCAAACATAGAATAGGCGCCTTTGCAGGTAGAGAGAAATGTTGGCAAATGTATTCGCAATATTCCCCCAGCGAATAAAGCACGATGCTTCAAAGAGCGTTCATTAAATATAAGCATATCCTTCTTAAAATTCATACTTTGTTTAGTCCAGTCACTGAAGTAAATCGACCAATGCAATTGTTCAAATCTATATTCCAACTCACTACCAAAGTAACACACCGGAAATATGCCAAGCAGAACTGCCATCGCATAAAATAAGAAATACAGACGCGTCATATTATCTTCGGCATAGAAAACTGCCAATGTTAAAGTGAGACAAGCGGTTATTCCTGTGACCGTGAACTGCAAAAATATTGGAAACGTTGTGATGTCTTCGATTTGAGTACAAAGCCTGAAACTAAACCGTTTAAAAACATTGATTTGAACTATACAAATATACTTATACTCATTCACTCGCTGTTGAGCAACTATGCAGGATCGGAAATATTTCTCGTTCTCCACGTTATTCTCTTGGTCATGACCAATTCTGGAAATGCGTTTATGCAAAAATATAACATGTGCCGATAGTTGATAAAATGCTATTATTGAAAATCTATCCGATATATAATTGTGAACAATAGCATAAACAATTGCGATTAATTGGTAATACTTAGCGATATTAAATTTTAAATCTGAAGTTTTATAGTCAAAAGGTAACCAACCATTATATAAAAGCTGTTCGTTATTCTGAAAAAGTATGGCTAGAGAGCAAGTAATACAAGTTATCGCGGATACTGTGAAGAGCACAACATCAATTTTCCTCATTCTACGATACATATTTTCGAAAAGTACGATATCTTCAAAGTGTGTAATATTCCTATCCAACTGCTTAAGTACCGATTCCAACACTCGAATTTTTCTGTAATTTCGTATATAGCTGAGAAGTTTTAGAGATGAAGCCACTGTGCTAAATGCAACTGCTATTAACTGCAGTTTTTGCATTTGTTCTCCTGACTTAAAAATTCCAAATAAAAAATGTATTGGTAGAAGAAAAATTACAAAGAAAGCGTTTGCAAAAGTGTAGATAATATAAAGTTTTTTCAACTGAATTTCTTCCGAGTTCATCCCAACTAACTTCCAAACCATCCATTGTATTTTCAGTAATTTCAAACTATCCACCGCGGCCATACTGCAAACTAGTCTAAAGTTTTCTTCCGAATGAGCATGAAAGTTGCAAATAAGTTTTTTATATTTTCTTATTAATATTAATATTTCTTAATATGCCATTATACTAATTTAGTTTTAATTACCTGAATGAATTTTTATTCCACATTTTGTAAATGTTTTACTTAGTCGATATTGATAACTGTCCACTGTTCTCTTATTAGTAAAAAGTAAATATATAAACTTTATTTAACTATAACGTCATATTAATGACTAAATATATGTTCCAGTGTATGTAAAATATCTTATGGTCTTAAATGTCGTCTTATGTATTCAAAAGTACAAATGTATTTATAACCCATATAACAAATTTTATTTTAGTTGAGAAAACGATTGCAATGAGTTGAAGGAACCTTCGAATAACTACATGGCCATGCACTCATATTCCAGTGAATTCCTGATGAGCATAGTGAGGTGAATCGATTATATAGATTTGTTTGTCTACTTGCTTGCCACTAAATCTTTATAACCATTATAAGGAACAATAGTATACCCGAACTCATTAGCTTTATTGTTTTTTTTTTGAGAAAGTCTCAAATGTAATCTAGAGATTTTTAGGATATTTATAATCCCAACCATATGGTTTGATTCTAAATAACAGACCCTATTCAATTTGCCCTTAAGCTAACTAAGATAAATTAAATAAAACAATGGTCTCCCCCTAAAAATTTGTTTGGAGTAATACTTCATACTGAATAGAGGCGCGAAAACTAATGATTCACCTCGTAAATCGCTGAATTGATTTTTTTAATTGGAAAGATTATATAACCATATAACCATATATATATAATTATATATATATAACCTTCTAAGGCTTTTTGTAGAATAGATTTTATTTCTGCCATACATATTAGAAAGGCTAGAACTCGTGAAAACATTGTTATTTTTTAGTCAAATAAACATTAGCTAATTGTAAGCATCGTAAATATATATAATTTATTTTTCCCGACCGTGGACAACACATACAGCTTCAAAATAGTTTAGTTGAATAAGAGCATAGTTTCCTCCTTTTTTATACTTTTGATAGTTCTTTCACTAAAGTCGTTGAAACCTATATTGCAGTTCACTACTAAAAATCTGATACTAAGAAATTGCCTATCGGTACTATCGCTACCGAAAATATAAACTATAAGTTCAAAATTGAGCTTAAAGCAATATCTTGCTATTTTTGAAGTTTAGATCCCTGAACTTAACAGACCAACTGAAAACCGTAGCGATAGGAATTGTCCATCAAGTAAGCTATTGAAATACTATAAGTTATAAAGTCGATATCACCTACTTTTTAAGTGAGTCATTGTATTCTTAATAACTGCATATATTCATGGGAAACTGCTTGGACTGCTTAGAGGATCAGAAAACTACAGGTGGTAATATTATTAGCTAAATAAGTTAAGCACGTTGATTACACAAACTCTAATAAACTATTCTGCTAATTTCATTTTAATTACTTTACGATTTCATTTGCAATAAAGAGACTATTTGTGTTTCATCATGTTTACTATACGTGTACGTTTATGATTTATTCGTGGCCATGTGTCAAAAGATACATCGAAGCCAAAAAAGAGATAATGATTTTCCAAAAAGTATCCCAAATATACGGGATCTATTGATCTTAAATACTTTCACATATTAGAAATATGGGTCAAATTAATCTATTAATACTTCTTCTATAGTTTAACATTCATGGTTTATATGTGGTTAATTAGTTATAATTGTACTGCAAAGTAAACTATTATAAAAAAATGTTATTAAATAAGCAAAGAAAGCACTTGTACACCAACTTTATTGACCACATAGGCATATATCGCCACTGTTCGCTTCCAATAGCATCCTCCAGTTGATCCAATTCCCGAAGATGACTGTAATTAGTTAGTAGAATCAAGTAAAAAGATATGTTTGTCTTTTGGGTGTTCCAGCGAAGATACGGATTTTCCATCAACGAATATAGAACCAAACAGCTTTTTAGCATCAGCATTTTAATTCAATTATTATGGATGATCGACATTAGTCGATGTTGTATATGTGTTACTAATTTGCAATCGTCATATCAACTAAGAATTAATCCCTCCACAATTTAATGTGGGAAGATCTGTTACTCAATAAATCAAGCAGATAGATGAATAACGCTATGCTGATTTAGAATGAATATAGTCGTTAAGAATATGAGAGATACTCGTATATATAGAAACTGAATCACTTCATAATTTACATAAACAAACTGAATACCTCTACCTTGAACACATATTCGCTAGATGAAGACCCAATAGTTTAGTTGCATAAGTTTTAAGTAAACTTACAATAAGAAATAGAATTATTAATTAAATAGATTATTATTAATTAATAATTAATTAGAATTATTATTGATTTCACTCTATTTTGATTCTTGAAATTTTATGTAATAGCATTGGATTTAATGAAGAACAACAAAGAGCACACTACATATTTTTGAAAACTCTTCAACTTCCTCCGAAATAAATCTGACAATTCATGTCTATTAGTTTATTATTATATATATAAATTTGAAATTTATTTTAGTGCAAAATATTTCTACTCTTCTGTACTCTACTGTGCATTGTTAAATGTATATATTTTTATATGCATATTTTACAGTTTGCTCTACTTAGTTTTTATTCATTTTTGAAACGAAGAACTACGGCAAACATCGAATAGGCACCTTTACAGGTAGAAAGAAATGTCTGTAAATGTATACGAAATATTCCACCAGCAAGGACGGCGCGTTGCTTCAGAGCACGTTCATTAAAAATCAACATGTCCTTCTTGTACGCAGTACTTTGATTGATCCAATCACTGTAGTAAATGGACCAATGCAACTGTTCAAAGGCATGCTCCAACTCACTGCCCATATAGCAGACCGGAAAAAGACCCATTAGTACACAAATCACGTAAAAAGCAAAATACAAACGCGTGAAGGTGTCCTCCACAAAGAACAGTGCAACAGACATTGCCATGCAAGTAGTTATTCCTGTGACCGTAAATTGTAGAAACAATGGAAATGCTACAATGTCTTCGATGTGATAACATAGACTAAAATAATTACAACTGTAAAAAAAATGAAACCCTTTATTTTCTCAATCATACTTACTCGTATAGACACTGCTGAGCATTTATGCAATTCTGAAAATCTTTTTCATTCTCGGTTTGGCTATTTTTGCAATGACCAATTCTAGATATGCGTCTATGTAAAAATTTGATATGTTCCGAAACCAGGAAAAATGCCATTATCGAAAATCTATCTGATATGACATTTTGTACAGAGGCATAAATTATTCCTATTAACTGATAATATTTTGCAATGTTATAATTTAAAGTAGATACTCTGTAATCGAAAGGCAACCAGCCGCTGTACAGAAGTGTCCCGTTAGTTTGAAATATAATAGCTGAGAAGCAATTAAACAAAAGGGTACCAGTGACTGTAAATAATATAAAATCAATCTTCTTCATTTTTCTGCATACATCTTGGAATAGTAAAGAGTCTTCAGAATGTTTAATATTCTTGTCCAACTCCCTGAACTGCAATTCCATTTTACGTATTTTGCCATAATTTCGAACGTAGCTTAAAAGTTTTATGGATGAAGCTTCAGCGCTGAGTGCAACTGCAATCAACTGAAATTTTTGCTTTTGTCCTTCCGGATTGAAAATACCAAAGAAAAAATGCAATGGTAGAAAAAAAATCATCAAAAATATTACAAGAATACTATAAACAAAATATAATTTTTTCCACTTCGTATTTTTTAAGTTCACTCCAACTATTGCCCAAACTAGCCATTGGACTTTCATTAATTTCAAACTATCCACTGCGTCCATCATGTGAGCAAAAGCACAAAACTAATAAATCGTAAATGGTCATTTTACATTTCTATTTATTGAAATAATTTTCTATTAATTAGTAAAAGTAACTGACTGTCCTTACTATCCTTTTTCATTTAGTCTGCTAATTTAATTTTAATTACCTTCTAATTCACAGTTTTTCACATTTGTATCTACTGTTTTACTAACGGATTTAATTTCTATTTCATTTGCGAAATGAATTTATATACATACATATATACTCCTTTATATATTTATTATAATATTCTCTTTTTGTGACATGCGAATGCATACCCATATCTGATTTTATTACACCACTCGAAATATCCTTTACTAAACTAATTAAATCAGACATTTATGATAACCTGAATCGAAACAGAAAAAAGATAGAAAGGATTCAATTGATAAATCTTTAATTAATTCAAATGAACTGATTGTAATTCATTAAGACTGATTAAGTCTCAGTCACTATAAAAAAATAAGTCACATATAGTAAGTACTGCTCTAATCAAAAATTGAAATAAAATATTTAATTTAAAATGCGCTTACTTGTTGATATGAACAACTCTATTTTAATAGGTTTGCAGTGCTGACACTGATCTCTGTGCCAAATATTATAAAAAAAAATACACAAAACAATAATCCATTTATTCCATGACTTAAAAAATAATTGATTTCTATCATAAACTGATTTGAAAGATCATTTAAAGAGAAAAGTTAATTAAGGATTAAGTATTACACCGCAAGATTAAGTTGAAAGGGCTTTTGTTGATACATATAGCAACATTTTCACTCGGAGACAACTAAATCCCATTGTGACGTCTTTAAATTTGCCGGTAGGTGGCAAACTACATCATTGTTATTTCCATCCAAAATGACTCATTATACTACCATTGTTAAAATATTTGGTCCAGATGTTAAGAAGATCCAATAAATCTAATTTCGTTTTCTATGCCCGGTCTGTGCAGAAATGGTCTCGTTTGCAGTCCTAATCTAAGATATAGAAAGTGATTAATAGCTTCCACGTCCTTTTCATTTACCGTCCGTTTTATATTTTGCTACAATAGTAGCAGGCGGAAAACGTTTGCTGTCTACATCATCTGTTTGCACCATGACTGTTTATCAGCTCCTGCCCATTCGGTTTTTCGGAATACACCAACGTTAAAATATTGATGCAATGGCACAATACCATGTTAGTTATCCAATTAACACATGAACTACAAGTTTTTTGAAACCCAAAATATCTTTAGTTTTTCTTCTATCTAATCTTACCCATACGTTCGTAGTGACCTCACAGTCTACGCGATTAGTCTATAAATTAATCATTGTCGCAATGGTACATTAGTATTCTTTCAAAACAGTTCATACATACTAAACTTTGAAGTATCGCTCTTATTTATGTACATTATGGAACCTCTTCTGTTCATCTCATGAGCTAGTAGATTCTCTTGGATATATATATACATGTACACAAACCAAAAAAGAGAGACATGGTGTCACTAAAATTTTATTAGTAATGCGTGACATTGCATTAACAACTATATTATTTAAAAGTTGAATCGTGCTCACTTGCATTGATCTGGCTATGCTTCCGATCGCGTATAAAATTAGAGAACAAAAAGTCCAAAAATTAAAGAAACGAAATGTCTGCCTTACCTACAAATCTTGCGATTAAATACTCACTACCGTAATACTCACTACCGTATCTCTCTCTATCTGGAGGACCACCGTTTAGAATATAACTTCAGAAATAGCTAAAGAGTAGAAAGTCTTGAAATCCAAAGTTAATGTAATGTACCTTTCGTCATCTTTAAATCAAGTGCATGATTTAATGGTAATGATCATTTAATCTAATTTTTACTGTTCAATAAAATGCTGTGAAAAATGTTTATTTATGTGTAAACAAATATCAAAATTATATGGCAAAAAAAATATACGGGTATTACGTTTATTATACTAATCACAGTATTTTTAACGATGAGTTTTATTAAGGATTTGTTAGCATGACATGACAAATCAGTTTTGTAATGTCGACCAATCTAGCTATCTAGTCAGATTCAATAGTTATAGTGTGAGTTAAATCTATTATTTAATGAAAATTTATAATCTGATGGACTTATCTTAATTAGATAAGTAAGAATCAGACTAAGACTTTTTCCAATTACTTCAGAATAGCAGGAGTTCTTATGTTTCTGAGCTGTCTACGCTTATATTTCTGCTTAAAAAACTACAAACATATATATAAATTAGAAATATTATAATATATGATATAACCTATCTAATAAGACATACTACGTATATATAAAATATTTAAATATAAAATCTTATCAAGATAATAAAACTCCGTAAGTATAAATGCCTAATTAGACCAATCTTGATGTATGACTGCGAAGTATATACACTCAAAGCAAACAAAACATGCCAACTACTTCACCAGGATAGGAAAAACTTGGCATCGGATCGAGTCAGATGGCAAAAATTAGTTGTGGAAGCACTGGTCAACGCAGAAAGTAACGGAAGAAGAATTTAACCAATATAAATTGTGGTACTATTAATGTTTCTAATAAATCAATAAAAACTTTTGCTAGTAGCTATACACGTATATTTTAACCGGTTTAGTGGCATTGTTGAAATTAATTGCACCAAAACTCTTGGGTGTTCAGAACAATTCGCGGAATGAGTTTAAGACCATACATTAGTTCTGTATCTGTATTTACATTACGGATTGGATCAACTCAACGTGGGCAGAACCACTTTGAAGATGGAAAATTATAATTTTTTTTGTATGTTTGTATGTCAAACATACGTATGTATGTCATGTACATTCGGTCACATTAGTCATTTTTAATTGTTATAATGACAAAAAGTTTGATTAAAAATGGAAATAGAACTTCAAAACCTTATGAAATCAATGGATGCATTTTTTATCATTTATTTTGTTAAACAGAAATTACATCATTTAAATTTTTATGCCAATACTATTTTAATATAAATAAATATATCAAAAACAAAAACCCTTGTTTCTAAATTAAACTAAATTAAAAATTGACAGTACTTGAGCTTACAAAATTAAATAAATGAGAATAAGTCGAATTTTTTAAATATTGGCATTTAAAGGCATTCGTTTTGTACCAGGTAATAGTTGTTAGGAATACGCCTCATTTCTTCAACTTAATAATCATAGCAAGCATTGAATAGGCTCCTTTGCATATTGAGAAGAAAGTGTCTAAATGTATAGGTAGTAGCCTTCCAGCAATTAAGGTTCTTTTTTTGAGTACACGTTCTGTGAAAATAATCATACATGTCTTATAATTTCGGTTCTGTTGTATCCACTCGCTTTGGAAAGCTGCATGGCGAAGCTGCTCGAAGCCGTGCTCTACTTTGCTACCATAGTAGCAGGCAGGAAATGTTTGCAAGGACACAGCAAATAAATAAAAGAAGTAAAATATTCGGTTTATGTTATCCGTTGAGAAATATAACATAATTGCCAGATTCAAGCAAATGTTAGTAGCATTAACCGTAAATTGCACCAGCATCGTCAAAGATACTACGAGTTGAATTCGATCGCAGAGTCTGAAATTTTAAGAGTGACTTTTAGTAAACAAATGTCATAATCCAATATACATACTCACAAATAAAGTACTTTCTGAATCTCAATGCAGAATTTTAATTGCTCTTCATTATAATTTTGGCTTTTATCCTTTTCGCCAATTTTTGATATGCGTTTACCCAAAATTTTTATATGTCCATGGAGAATACAAAGTGCAGTCGCCACAAAGGTATCATTTGCAAAATTAATACTTATGTAGTAGATAATTGCAATAATCTGATAGGCATTTCCAATGTTACACAAAAAACGAGAGTTACGCCAATTAAATGGAAACCAACCCATATAGAGCAGTTTCGGTGTTTTACTACCAAATGCTGTTATGGAGGCAGTTAAGACTGTCAAAGTGAAAACACTTATAAAAACTCCTTCGACAATGCGAGCTCTTCGATTGGTTTTGTCTAGTTCTTTTAACTCATCAGTATCGTGAACACTATTGTCTAGAATTGAAAAGGTTTTCCTTATTAAATATACTTTTTTAAAATTCATTATCAATGCGAAGAATTTCATCGAACAGGCAACAGTAGTAACCCAAACCGTGATCAGCTCTAGAAGTTCCTTAAGATTTTGTGTTTCGGAAATTGCCAAGATAAGATGAAGTGGAAAATAAATAGTAAAAATTGTATTCAGAAACAAACAGTATAACCAATAGAGATACTTCCATTTGGCGCCGTCACTGCTGGCACCCAATATCTTCCATAAATTCCACTGCAAACGAAAGGCGAGAGCTCTCTTACTCGAATTGTTCATTTCTTGACCGATTGCTCTTGACTGAAATTTTTGTTGAACTTCTTAATTTAAAACGTAGTATGACGACCTTTTGTACTTTTCTACTTTTCGAATTTAAAAGCGAGTATTGATAACTTTAATAATAGTAATTAAAAAGGATAGAACCAAAATAAAATTCTCAGTAATTAAGCCATTAAGGTCAGTTTGCCATTAGTTTTCTTCTTCTTACCAGTTTTTATTCCGCCTCTTAAATCCGCCTATTGATTGAACTTATGCAAAAAGGCTATTTAAAATGCTATATAATAGATTCTAAGGTTTTTGACTTCAAACTTATAATACACGTGTTAGTATTATGGTAATAAATGAAATACATATCGTCAGTTTTCTGACAGAGCACAAAACGAGTGCACAACATCTGACCGCATGTCGGTTCTTGAAATCAGTTAAATTTGTAATACCTAACATAAATTATAAAAAGCAGTTCCAATTACAAACATCTGCGGATCGGTCTGAAAAATTATGATAACAGATCTAATAAACATGAATACTTAGCTATTTCGTAATGCATTCATGTTAAGATCTTATGATGGCTATAGTGACACGGAGATAAGTATAGCATCATTTCTATGCAAAGGATGCATTAATTACCAAAATCTGTTATTAAAATCTTTAATTTTTATTTATTCTAAAAAGTCTATTCTACCTTAAAATCTATTTTAAATAGATAATCAAATTATAATAGAGTGTAACACATTTGTTGAAGAAATTATGCATACAAATATTAAATGTAAATCAAGAGATCGAATATTGCCAAATTGCTGATCGGCTATTCCTAAATAGCCATTAACAGTATTTTTTTGAAATCTGTTATTAAAAACTTTAATTTTTATTTATTCTATTCTACCTAAAAATCTATTTTAAATAGATAATCAAATTATAATAGAGTGTAATATATTTGTTGAAGAAATTATGCATACAAATATTAAATTTAAATCAAGAGATCGAATATTGCCAAATTGCTGATCGGCTATTCCTAAATAGCCATCAACAGTATTTTTTTGGAAATATACAATAATTGAATTGTCCGTCTATAAATATTGAAGTGCAAGTACTAGATAAGCTAAACCCTATGCAAAGTCACAGACTGAAGACACTGAACCCATGGCGCACTCAAATTGCGTTGTTCGATTTCTGAGTTTTGTTAATTTGTTGTGATATCCTCAATAGCAAATGCACAAGCTGTGTTTTAATTAAACAAATAAATTAAAATAATTAAAAATATTAATTAATTAATCAGCTTTGCAGTTTATCATACATAGCAGAAAGATATAGTACTTAAAAAATCTGTTCTGCAAAGCATCAACACTGACAATTATAATCTAATAAATACTGAAAGACAATATAAACTATAATTAAGTAACTGTGCTACCAGAAATTAATAGAAAAAGTACTACACATAAATTTTTTTATAAAAAAACACTACAAATGACTGGTCCATTGCTTAGTGCTAGTAAAGAGTAATAAAAATAACATTAAAGTTGGTGTTGGAATTATAATTTCACTGTCTTTCCAAATATCCTCGACAAGAGAACTTCGTATTGCAAGTGCTTTCCTATGATACTCCGCACTCAGTTCTGTTGTTATTTAAGCCAAATACTAAATGGGCTAAAACAGCTTAAAACCAACTGGCGCACTGGCAGCACTTAACATGTTGCAATTGCCTTAATAATTGCTTCAATAATCGTAAAATCACCAACGCGGTCGAAAATACACAACAACGATGACGAACACGACATTAAGTTGAACGACTTCCGCTCTTTTAAGAGGGACGTGGTTAGCTATTCCATTGTCCCTGGTTGGTTGTCCCTTTTTTTGTTTTTGTTATGAAAAAACAATAGTCGGTTTTACAAGTATTTAGCTAGTAGATTTTTATGCATTAGAAAATTTTATTAGTCAGCAGAAGAATTTGTTAGACGTACTAACTAACGAACTAATATATGTTATCATACAACTGCTGTGAATTAACAATCTAACGGATCTAATTTGTAGTTCTACAACAGCATTCATCATACGATAGATCAGTAAACACTGAAAAGCAAATTAATTTAATAGAGTCACATCGTAATCAATAAACATTAGTACTAATAAATCAGAGTCAAAGGATAAGTAAATTAGATATAATAATTAGCAGATTCATCTCAGTTTTAAAGTTCATGATTCAAATTATTGTAAGGAGTGTTTCTTTCTTCTGAACATTTTAAACGGTCAACGTTACCATGTTATTATAAGATAACCTAGGCTCAACTTAAACTTTTACTCCAGAGTTTGAGATAATATTTTCCAGTAAGACCACAATGATAGATCTCCGCTTCTGAAACTAAATAAATAAAAAATAATAATATACTTTTGTTTAAAAGTCTATACCTAATACCATGTTCCCACTATAGCTAAATCAATTTATATTAATCATTTTAACATTAAATCGTTTCCCTTGGTCTAATTTGATTTATGCGTGCGAAAAAGCTTTTAAAAGTCAGTAAGTTCTGTGAAAGTTCTAGGAAAGCTTTCATTTGTCTTGATTTCAATTGTTAGTAGTTAATATTTGGTTTTATCTTGTTAACAGAAGTTATTTAACTCATTATAGAAAACGAAGAAAATCGAAAAATATATGTGTATAATATTTATTTATAAAAAATCAACACTTTAAAAAACTCTTACCTCTTGTTTCATGTATTAAATATGTCAAATTTCGATCATTTCCCTTTTGGGAAATAAATTTTGCAATATTGCATTCTACATTTTTGATATAATTTCCCTCGATTTATACTTACCTAAGTTTGATTTATTCTTAACTAAGTTTGATTTGACTAAACAGACTAAAAACCTTTATACTGTTAATCAACTTCAATAAAGGTAATGGGAACATACTATAAGAATTTCAAGAAAAATAAATTTTTATCTAGAAAATATCTAACCGATTCAGAAGCAAAATCATTTATACAAAATATTTCTCAAGTGAAGGATAAGCGACTCGTGCAAGAAAGACAAAAGTATAATTTTCTATAAAGCATCTATTAGGTTCTAATAAAATGGTTCGTGTCCTGCTTTTGAGAAAGCTTTTAGTTACAAAGCAGAGCCATCAAAAGCTTTATGTGCTTTTAAAATTTCAGCTTTTTTCACACATCAACTGTGTAAGTTCCACTCATCAATCTAAAGGTAGAATTATATATTTAATAATATTAAAATTGTAATAATTTAAAATTGTTAATCATGATTATATATTAATTAAATATGCACTAAAACCCAACAACTATTTAATAAAACTGAGTAATTAATTTAAATTCGTGTTATAATTTCTTAGTTCAAAAACGAAACAAAACATACAGCTGGGAAGTCCATCTGGTAAACAGATCCAACCTTAAGCAACCTTCAAACTTGAATCTCTATATATCTGAATAAAAATTATTAAAAAAATCTGGCCTATAGCGAATATATATTTTATCATACATACATACGATAAATATTTCATAGTAGATGAAAACATAGTAAACTTCCTTTTAAAAGTACGAATATGTAATTATAATTTTTTTTAGTTTCTTATTTAATATTATAGTCAATGATTTGCTTAATTTTCTTAAAATGTCGTTTTTTACTTTTATATTTTATTTTTCTCGTAAGTACAGAGGAGGCGACAAAAAAAGATGACAACGAGGACTACAAATTGATGTCAAAAAATGAATTATTACAAAATTTTTAGAATTTTTCTAATAGTAATTAACAGCATCTTTGCGGTGAGTCCAGTTTATATATTATATCTAATATTTTATAACAAAATGATACTTGCCAACATCACGTTATCGAATCTTAGAATGGTTACAGGCTCCTCGGGGAGGTATGCAGATCTGGGGTAAGGTATGGCTTAATCTGATGAAGAGATAAATAATAATCCAGTCAAAGCGTAGGGAAAGGTTATGAATAAATCTAGCAGTTAAGAGAGAGTAAAAGTGCTTAAGTGTACTGACTCAACTAGCTTCAACATAGTAATAAAATTATAAATCTAATGAAACTCTGTCAAAATTGATGGCATTAAATAAAACTTTTGTATTAATCAAACGGTTGTTTTGGATACTAACAAATATGCATCATCAGTAGTATTTGAAAAGTGTCTCAAATACAAGGGTTCGAACTCAGTGAATGTTAACGCTAATGGGTGATTAGGGCACTAATAAAGGATATATGGTATATCAGCATCTAAAACAACTGTATTGTCTGCCCACAGGTCACTTAATCACTTAAGATTTTTATAAATTAAGTTTTATTAACTTACAGCATCAATTGTAAAAATTTGCATAGATACGATTTATATATATTCTTCAAATAAATATAGTCAAAGCATTCACTTTGGCTTCACACAATTGATACTAATATCACAAGACCTCAAAACTAAAGTACACATTTAAGTTTATTAAGTTTAAGTGCAATACTTGTTTATTGAAATATAATTGCAAATATATATAACAAATATATATATTATATATTATATATTACAAATATATATTTAATATATATAACCAACGTGCGATATTACTTATTTTGACATAATGTACTTAAGCCGTCGTAATTGATAGATTGAGAAGAACTCTGGAACTCATTTTTACTTATGAGCTTGAGCTCGCTCTGCGAATGTATATTAATCTCATCTATTGTTAAAAACATCTTTTTGAGTTTGGGAACTAAAAAAGTCAGTAGTGCCATGTCTGAAGTAGAGAGTAACTATATCATGATATCGTTTTAAATACGAACTATTGATAAGGTGACACATTTTAGGAACATACTTTGCTGTCACACATTTTGTTGTCATATCTTAAGCATTTGTAAAAATTGCTTGATCTGAGCTAAGGTATGACATTATAATGAAATCAAGCATTGTAATAGCATAATAGTTAACACACACGTTACCGGCAGTGCAATCAATACACAAAAAATTCCGTTAGTTATGGTATATGTAATTTTGAATGGCTCACTACTTTTTGAACAGACGTAACTAGAGTATCACAAAGAATCACTATAATCTAAATTATATTATAAATAAGTTAATTAAGTTATTAAATTGTAGTTTATTTGCAATAAATAAAAAATATACTCACTAAATCTATTTTTATTAGATCATTGCAATAATTTGTATCATTATGAATACCATCTTTATTTATGACTTGAAGGATGAAGACAGAAGCCATCATATATTACATGTAATGCTAATCGTCTTTATTTTCGGTTTTATTGTGTCGATATTTGGAATTTTGGGTCCATGGCGCCGAAGTAGTTGCTTAACTTGGACTGTAAGTAACAAAATAAGGAAATTTACATAGTTCTTGCTTATATATATAGTACAAAACATATATTTTGTGTGGATAGTATCGAAAACCGTATTCAATATATATAATTTTCATTTTAAAATTTATATCGAATGAAGGAATTGATTTTTTAATAGATTATCAGTTAAACTTTTGTTGCATGATTCATATATTTTCTAATAATCTTTACTTAGAAACTGACCTATATACTATACTATCTTTACAGTATGTTGTAAATATGGTAACGATAATACTAGTGACCGCTGTTACCTGGTTTGCCTTTGTAATGAATTTGGATGAAAAGAGATACTGCTTTCAACAGATAAGTTATGTATGGAAGCGATTATTGAAGTGTGAAGACAATCTATTCGCGTATCAAATTATGGTGGGTTTAAAATTTTTATTATTAAATAAAAACAGCAACAATGCTCGTAATATATAAATATATAAAATTATAGAACAAATGTTGTGGATATGCTGGCGAACCAAATTTCTTGGAGGATCAAGAAGCAATTTCTCAAAGTTGTTATGATCATTTTAATCACGAAAATCAGGCTAATGTGTTGAATGATGATTGTTTGAATGATGTTGTTAACTATTACAAGCGCACTATGAAATCACTTGCGATTTTTTGTTTGTTAGCTTTCATAATTGAAGTATGTGTTAAATACTTAATAAATAACTCAACTACAGATTATAAATTAAACATCTTTTGAAGGCACTTTGTTTGATAGTTGCAGCGGCATTGGCACTGGTCTATGAAAGGAAGGGAGATCGAGTTGCGCGTAGAGCACGACATCAACGCCAGGAAAATTGACAAAATTCGAACTATAGTAGAAAATTATGGTATTACACATATATTTTCGAAAAACAATTATATTTCTTACAAATAAAATATACATAAGGAAAAAATTTACTTTCCAGTTTATATTTATTGCCAAAACAAAAATTGTTCTACATTAAAGGATATAAAAATTAATATCAATCCAATAGTATTGATTAACATTTTAAAGGTAAATCCGTAAAATCATAAGTTGATACCTAACTTGAAAGTTAAGTCAACTGATATCCAACATTATATGGAAACTATGCATATTATTTGCTAGCTTGAGAAATAATTAAAAAGATTAGCTGTTATTAATGGTATAGTTTTGATGTGGCATAGGGCAGCGATGTGATATGATATTGATGTGATATTTAACTAACAAAATTATTAAATAAAAAATTCTCATAAACAATGTTATATTCAAACTTTAATCTTTATAAACTAAAAATAGAGTAACAACAATAAAGTATGTTGGACGCTCATAAACATAATTCGTATAATTATCCAGCTTTTCGTCCATTAAATACCGCATACGCATATTGACTCCTTGATTTTGTTTCTCTACAAGCGAAACAACACATATTATGCGGTACCTATAAAGAAAATATTAATATTTTTTTAAAAAAATTGATTAAACTAAATCTTCTGTTACCTTCGATAATTCAATTTTTTTATTTTATTTCTAATATCAGCTGCTAAAGACTCGATTAATTGCAATGAACGCCATGAATCATAGGATCGACTTAATCGGTCCCAAGTCATGCGTTCTTCAATTGTTGTTTCAATAAGTTTATATGCACGTTCCATGCTAAAATTATTTCGAAAGAATTCCCAATTATTTTTTGGTTTCTCATTTTCAATATCGCCATCATTTTCACCTTCATTTTGTGAGGCTTTCAATAATGCTTTACGCCTTCCAAACATTGACTCCGTCAGTAGAGCATTTATGCGATTTGTAGTACGTACAGAAGCAGTAATGCTGGAAAAAGCAAAAACAATGCGATAATATAATACAGCGTTGTATATATAATAAATTATCTACTCTGCAACCCTTTCAAGAAATTGGAGGTCTTCTCAACCTCCAGCTACTATTATCTATAAGGTCTGTAAGACAAATTCAAAGATGTCTTAAAAAATCATGTATTTCCAAGGAACTCAACCTATGACTATCCTTCAAATTAATGCAGTGCAGTAATGTTTCTTAAATGAAACATTAATAATTTTATAATTAATCTCAATTTAATTTACATTTTCAATGGCAGCCAAACGACCACTATATTCCTTGCTGATGTATTCACAATACTATCTAAGCTTGTATCAGAAAGTCAAATAGCTCTCAACGATATGTCAATACACTCAAGTGATCATAGGAAAGCTACTAGTCACTGAAAAGCAGACGAATTTGTTAAAAGTGACGCAGGTGTTACTAGTACATCAAACATTTAAGTTGTAGGAATCCTTTTATCATCAATTAAACTGTACAGCACACCTTAAAAGGAGGAAATATCTTTCGTCCATACATGGCGAATGACATACATACAGATTAGTTACTCTCGCCCACCACATAATGCCTACCAAAATCGCTACACTGTTAGAATCCTACCTCATTGACAGGTACGCCATTTGATTAGGGATTCTTCTCAAAAACAAATCAGATGCAAATCAGAAAAAGCAGAAGAATGGTTTATTGAATTCCTTTTCCACTTGCAAAAATCTGCAGTTCAAATTAACTTTCTTTCTCAAATATCTGTCTCATATATCACAGTTTTATATAAAGTCTCTTTTCTGTTCAAAATAGAATTGTCTTCACCGAATTTTTTTAGAAGAAGAAATGCCCTTTTAAACTGTAGCAACATCATTGCGTTGTCACCTTAATTCTCATTACGACTGTACATCATAGTATAAAATCCTTGTTTTTATTAATTGAATACGTAAGAGATTTATAAAATACATATAATGTATAAATTATTTAATATATCCATTATGAATTTAATCTTTTGTCTGATATATTATAACTGAAATATTACTAAACAAACAGAAACTCCCTTAAAATTTTCAACTAACTAATGTCAAATTATATGGATTTATGGAATTATATGGAATTATGGACTATAAACTAATTAAATAAATATTTGAATATTTCATAAGATCACTGTTGATGAGTACTTGGCAAAACTCGAAACATCGTTGTTGTTGTTTCTTCATTACTGTTCGAACCCTTCAAATTTTCTTTTCGTCATAAGACGAGTCACATTTGACAAAAAAATTAACCTTAAGAGTCATATAAATTATTACAATTTTGCTTTAACAATCAAGTTGGTTGGAAATCCACAAATCCATTATTTTATTTTGATTATTGAACTATATATACAAATAATCATAAAATTTATGTCAATGTAATTCCACTAAGACTGAAAAATTATTCATATTTTTATTAATTTTATCACTCTACATCATTCAATAAAGTAATACAAAGACTTTTAGGTAAAAATTAAAATGGAATTATATATATAATTTTTAACGTAATGTTTTTCTAATTATTACCATTAAACATTAAATTAATCTAATTAAACTATTGATTATGTCAATAGGTAATAAAGCTAAGTACTATGAATTTGAATATATTCTTGTAACTTCAGCTTGTAACTCATACTTATCACATCGAATAGGACATGTGTTTTGAATTAATGATTCATAATCTATAGTTAACCGATGGTTAACGAACAAACCAGTTCATTATTAATATTATCAAATGTACACATTTTTTTCGACTTCTTATAATAATTTCCGGATTGATTTATTATTACAAATTCAATATTAATAATGTTATCAACTACACATTATAATTTTTGACACATAAACACTCTGCACTAACCACAATCACTTGAGAACAGTGGTAACTCATACGCACCGTGTTTTCATTGCAGTCCAACTGGCCATATTGCTGTTCTATGCTTGTTTTAGTAACACTTAAAATAATGTCAAACCGAAGTCTTCAGTAAAAATTTCCTACGTCCACATATGAAACAGAATTGATTCGCAACTGAAAATCAAAATTTTGCAATGTATCTGAATACCATCGACGCGAACATACAACGAACACATCGTAAGCAATGTGTTCTGGTAATTATCATGTGCAGTGCCATAAAAACGGAAACAAAAAGGATTCCTGCTCAAAATAAGCCCTCAGCAGCTTTAAAGCTCATACATGAATTAGAAAAATTAACAAAACTTTGTGTAACAAACTTTTTCCGTGCTGAGGCACCGTTCCTGCACTGAACGCTAGTAGTTAAGTTTGATGAGTTAAATGGGCTGAAATCGTGTTGAACATATGACGACAAGGATAAGACAACTAGTGAGCGAGGATACACCATACCACATCATGCATGGCACCTTTGTTAGATTTTTCATTTACGAGTCTTTGGAAAAGTTTGCAGTTTGCGTGTTGCCAGCCATAAATCATTTTCCATACAAAGTCTTAAATGCATTCACTCATTCGCTCATTCATTCACCTCCATTAGGTGCTCCATGCAGAGTCTTCCACATATTGTAGGCGGATTCTTGGGTCATAAGTTATTGAATATTTGCTTACCAATTATATTTTGCATATTTTTATTTATTATTTTATACTCGTATATGCAATTTCACTTTTATTGATTTGCATCGGAAGTTCTTAACATTGCATTGATAGTGCAAATTCATCGACGTGGAGGCACTTGAATATCCTCTGAATGCATTGCATTTGCTTTGTATGCTTTGTATGGTGAAATGAGGTTGTAACTTTTACTTATTTGATTACTTTTTCATGATGAAAGTTTTAGTTTAAGTAAAACAAAATGAAAGTTTAAAATTTGTTCGTTGAGGAAAGTTATAGCATTTGTTGCTTCTGTAAATTTTGTCACTCCACCCATTTCAACTTTTTGCAAGGATAATTAAAAAAAAAATATATATAAAATTTATTATACTTAACAGGAACTTAAATTATTTGACAAGTAATATTGATATGTAAATAAAGATAATTCTTATATATTATCAAAAGCAAGTCAAATGAGTCTTGCAATCGTCGAGCGGAACACTCTTTGGGATATCAATACAAGTCCATTGGATAGCTTCAGCGTTTATAAAATGCTTGCTTTTCTTCAGCAAATGCACATATTCAAAAATGAAACATAGACCTAAATATCTTATATTGACTTATAGTGATAAAATATATATTGTTAACTAACTTAGTATTATGCAGAAATTTAATTAGTTTATAACAATTCGAGCGAATATCGAGCAAATAAGGAAGAAATTGACCTTTATTGGTTCACGTAACGACTACATCCATGAGTCACATATTTAGATAAAGTCCCATTTATACATATATTTTACTTCCCGGAAATACTTGTATTAATATTTTCCTGCAATATGTAAGATTTTCATTTAATAACAAATGAGAAATGACATCATATAAGTTTTATATGATATATAACCAGAATAGACACTCTTCTAAATTTAACAAGTACGAAATATCAATCTGCCAACGTCTTTCCTTTGAAGTCATTTTTTAACTGGTACATCGTCGACTTTATTAGGCAGTCTTAATAAAGGCTAATGTATTGTGGAAGCTTTCCATATGAGGCTATGAAAGAAGCGATTGAGTACCGATTAAGTGTTAATTTTAAAGCAGACTTTGAGGATTTCGTAGCCTTGGATTTAGTCGACCTATTAAAATTCTATTTAAGTTTCTGTTAGAAATCACTACTTAGTTAAGAATACAAGGTATACCCATCAATAGTATGACGATGGTGGAACTACTAAAATATTAATAATAAAATTGATAACATGTTAACCAAAATATTCATTTTCTATTTATTATAAAAAATTTTAATTTATCCATATATTATAACATCCTATTGCCAACAGTTTTATATAGTTACCTACTTAATGATTTCAATCTACCCACATCTCAGAAATTTTACACTATATTAACCGACTCTGGAAAAAATGATTTGTTAAAGCCGCTTATACTTGATCACAAAACTAAAACGTTGCTTAAACTTAGGGGACAAAGAGATAATGACTTAGTTGCTAAAACATAGTGGAAC